AATTTTGCCAATAGGAATCTAAGAAATTTCTTATTAACTTTAAATTAATTAATAACTTTATTATAGTAATTATTAAATGATTAATTACTTTCAAAACAACACATCTTACTTGTGATGCAACAGCATTATTATTTTGAATTTCTTTAATTTTTAAATGTATATTGTCATATGTTATTATTCTTGTATCATCAAAACTTAAAGTTGATCCAACTATACATCCCAATTCTTGTGAATAAGTTAATTTAACTCGAATTTTAGTGCAATCTGTCATAGCAACTACTGGTCCTGTCCATTTTAATGCTTCTATAGCACAAGCAAATTGTGCCACATTCTCATACATAAGATTAGGATTAGTTAAATAATCTCCATTTCGAACGCGTAAATATCTATTACATAAAAATAATTATATTTTAGTACCATTTTGGTTATATTAAACTTTGATTATAAATAATTTTATTACCTTATTGATCGTGGATCCATACTTCCTAACATTTTGCGAAATATACCATATTCTCTACTACTGTCTGATAATAAACTAAAGAAATGATGAAGATGTTCAGAATATCATAATGCTTTTTTGCTTTTTCCTTATTCTTGAATTTCTTTGATTTGAAGCATTAGTTCTACTAGTTCGCTAAATGTTTTATCAGTTTTGAATGCACCTTTCTTTCCATATTCAGCTAATTTTAACTACATTTGACTTTCATCTGAATCCTACACTGCATTTCCATATAAAGTTTTTAATTTATCATTTCCTAAAAGCTGAACCAATTTATTATCTTGAAGATGTCGTTTCATAGTATATTTAAAAGTTTTCTCAGTTGCACGCGGCTATAAATTCAAATTTTGACAATAATTTAAAATCAATATTATATACCATAAAATAATTTAAAATAAACATACCGCACTGATCGTGTCACGAAAACGTGAACAATTTTTTAATCTATCACATTCTTTACATATTTTGGATTCATAAGGAGCAAATTTAGTACATTTAATGCTCATTACTGATAAATTTTCTCGATCTAAAACCCATGATGCATGTGCTCTTTGTGTATTATAAAGTTCTTATCGTTCACTATAATTTAATTTGTTATAAACTAGATGTCTATCTTCAAATTTTTGTGAAAACAATCGACAAGCAAGTTCTGTTTCATTTTTTGAACCACTAAAATCTGATGGGCATCTTAATACATATTGTTTAATTTGATCATTTGTTAAACTCTGATAGGAATAAGGTTGCCTTTTTGATAATATATTTTCATCATTAGTTTTAAAATATTTTTCAACACTAACTTGACCTTGTGATTTAGCACTGCATGCTCTTTTACTACGTACATAGCTAAAAAAAGCTGAATCAATTAAATTTTTTTTTTAATAAAAAAATCAAGTACAGTATAAATAAATATTTACTTACAATTTTAAGTTTTTTAATAAGTATCGCTTATCTAATTTTATTTCTTTTCCACATATGTATCGAACATATTTTGGATTAATTAGCCGTGAAAAGTATTTATATCTGCGCAATTTTATTTCCTTAGGACACATATAAGGTTTTCTATCAAGTAGTAATTCGTTATATTCATCATTACTACATTCATCTAAATTATCATCAGATTCATTATCAGTTGACAGATCTGTATCATTATCATTGCTAATTGATAGATCAGTATTAATTTCACTATAGGAATGTTTTTTATTAATCGAAGGGAAATTAAGAGTTATTTGTCGTAGTTGATTAGATATAATTTTTCTGCTATTATCTATAACTTTATCTTTACCCTTTTTAATAGATAATACAGAAAAATTAAGAGTTGATTGCATATAATTTTTTTGTTTTGAGCTTTCTCTGTTATTATATTCCATTGTGTGAAAATAAGAAAGCAAAAAAAGTTGCAAAAAAAAATCTTTCAATGCTTATTTTACACGACATTATGTACTATTATGACTTTGCTAGGATCCGTAAAATAACTGGTTATCAGAGTACAAAATACTATTGGAAATTTGGAATGGAATTTTGCTGAAAGACTGAATACTCAAAATACTCGGTAAATATATCAAATATTAAAAAAAGTAATTATCATATGAATTATAATATGGTACTAATAAATATATATATTATATACATTACATTTATATATAATTTTACCTATACTACTAATAGGAACCCTTTATAAACTATTAATAAATTTACCCTTATATTAGCCGGAAAGCAAAAAAAACTTTACCCTATAAAAACTTGAGCATTTTTTAAGACATTATGAAATTTACCTATAGCTTAGCCGGTAACTTTTGAGTTTTTTTATATAAATTTTACTTAGTTTACATGCTAGGAACATCAAATATAAGTTTCCAGGATCCTGCTGGATCACTATATTCACTATTTTTCATATACGGGTATTCCTATATATAATTTTATCAATTTGCATAGTCTGTTGTAAATTGAAATTTATTTGCATATATCAGATTGCACTTATCATTAGAACAAAGTTTGCACAAAATAGACTTTAACATTCAAAATATATCTAGAAAGCATTTTTCTAATGTATCTTTGTCATGTTCAGAAAGAATATTCATACATGGCTTTATATCTGAATGCCAAGGGAGATCTGTATTCAGTGAGAAGAGATATTTTACTTCACTAGCATTGCCTGCTCAATCGAAGTCGATGAATTTCACAGTCCATTTTCCATTTTTGGTATCAGCTTGCACCATGATATTACTTGAGTGTAAATCACCGTAAACGAAGCCACTTTCCCTTAACACAAAATATGCAGCCTATATTTCCTTACTCAAGTTTGTTTTCTGATCTTCATCTAGGTTACTCTATATTTCATAAAGCGGTTCAAATTGCATGTCACTAAGGTCTTCCATGATTATAGCTATATAGTCTGTATTCTTAACTGTATTCACAGATATAAGTTCAGGAGTGATGCTTTTTGCATAACAATATTTGTGCACTTCTACACCATATGAGGTAACAAATTTCAAAATACGTTTAATGCCTATTTGTAATTCTTCTACCTGAAAGACAAGTTTACCGTTACTATCGATTATGCGTTTTGAGTAGCAAAACTCGATTCTATTTTCATTAATCATGTAAGAGTTTATATACAGAAAAGATGTTTGACGAATCAGCGATGGCCCAGAATTGCCATACTGCTCTATAGCATTTTATAGTAATCTTTTAGTTCTAGGCTGGCTTTCTGCAAGGTCGCAAAAATTCATATCATCTCGTTTAACCATGATGACTTTCACGTTGAAAGAGTAATGTCCCCTGAATAAAAGGTGTAATAGTGATTTGCTTCCCTACGACTGCATCAGCAATGCCAAAGAAATGTCCGATATTATAAACGAGAAAACAGGGGCAGCAAGTCACTGTGAACTAAGCCTGTTCAACTCAGAGAAATATTTTGCATAGTATACACAAGCTTGTACATATGGATTGGTTTACGAACAATCTCGTTTGAATTTGAAAATTGCTAGTAGAATTGTGTTCCCATGAATTTCTTCCCTCCAAACGCCATCAATTTGTGATCTATCAATAAAATCATAGGCTGTTGTATCACAGTCAAAGAAACTTCGTGCCCATATTCGAAACTTTTTAGCCATTTCAGCCTCAGACTCGTAGAAATCGCTCATCACACTTTGCATGTTATATGTCTTAACCTTATCGTTATCAGTTAGAGTATCATTCTCGAAATAGGATAAAAACCTTCCAAATATTTCATGATACAAAAGAACTGGCACGTCAAAGTTTTTTGTTGGGTGACAATTTATTATCGGCGGGGTCTCAGCCTTCAGCTGTTTGGAATAATTCGAATGCCTAGCAAATTCTGATGGTGACATCCTTATATGTTTAACTCGCGTGTCTATTTCTTCTAGATCATCCATTTCGATATTCGGTTGACTTCGTTTGCGAGATGCTATATAGTTAAAACATGAACGTGATAGGAGGAGAAAACATAAATTAGCTAACGCCTAAAACGTTTCTCATAGAAACTATGTGCGTGTTTTAGGAGAATTATGAACAAAAAGCTATATGCTGTAGCATTTTCCCAATACAACTATATTACAGCCTATACTACTCCATCTACTCTACCCTATATACACACTATTCTATGTTCTAACGTCTGAGTCACAAAGTCATTACTTGGTTGAGCAGCTGCTTCTATACTCGTAAGTCTAAGTTGCAGCTCTTGTATATGCTTTAAACGCTCTTCCTTCTTCGCCTCCAGCTGCCTCTTCTCTGCTGCGAGGTCATTCACTGTCTTCTCCTACCGTCTCTGTTGTGCCGCAGTTCCTTCTCCATTCGCCAACTTTAGCCTCAGCCTTTCCAGTAGCTTCCCTGTGCTTCGCCGTCCTTAAACTCCTGCAACTTCCTCTTAGCATCCTCTAACTGCACCTTAGTGTCATTAAGCTCTCGCTCAGTTTTCTCGATAGTCACCATTTTTCATTTAGTTATAGAGAGAAGATGTGCTACGCATGATGTGATCTAATACCATAATATACTAGCACTGATCAGTGGCTTAATCAATGACGTAAGGATTAGGAACATTCTAGATCGTTCGCAATTGCTATGACCAATGATAATTAGTGCGCAGCAACGCGCATTTGTTTATTTAAGCATCATGCAAGATTTTATTATAGAAGCAAGTACTAGTCGTTTACTTTCAGAAAACCAACCACACAACACAATAAATACCATTGAATAAGATAAACAAACATACCAATCAATTCCATCAATTACGCCTTGCGAAAATGTTTACATTAACAAGCGAATTCTTCATCAAAGCATTAATTGGCTTTGTTCTTGATTTATTAGTAAATTACCTAATCTGTAATAGCCAACTCAATCATGCTGACGCATTGTTTAAGACTGGAAAGTCAAGAAATTTGTGACTGACAACAAAACTGTCAGCAAACAACACTTACTCGCCAGAAGTAGAAATGTTGTGGAATGATTTTAAACAATCATATGACAAAAGAATTAAATTGGATCCAAAATTTTCATTTAACAAAATGGCGTTTAAAATTTATAAGTTACTTGAAGAAAAAGCTGTTGCGACTTCAACGATACGAAATTTTTATTTCTGAAAAACAATCCTACGGAAAAAGACCATTGAAGCAATCTAACGTTGAATCGACAAAGTAAAGAAAATATAAACTATGAAGATGACGAAATAATAGATGATAGTGATAATCTTATTAATAATAGTGATAGTATAAAAGATAATGAAATTTAAAATTTGCACTGGAGTGACCAAAAAATAGGTTATACTCATAAATGGCTTTGGGTCCAAGTATTTTCCTCCCATGCAATCACTCTGGTGCATTTTATATTTTCAAAAGAGCACATTCAATAATCGAAATAATAAATTTATGCTTACGCAAAAAATTTTTTACATATCATTTAACTCTTTAATTGTAATTGTATCAAAGTGGTGAAATATGATCAAGCAGTCTTATAGATCTTTCATTGACAAGTTGTTCAATCAGTGGAGTGTTGGTGGAAAGCTTTTACGTTGAATTTATTTCTCTTACGTTTCTTCTAATTTTCGTTTCTTTCTTGATTTATCATAAGTTGAGGTTAAGGTTCATTTATGGTTTATTATTTTTCGTTCTTGATAGATTTCATAAGTAATTTTTTCTTTATCCAGATATTTCTCGAGAATTTTAGTGTCATTCATTTTAAAAATGTATAGAGCAATTTTTTCTTCTTAAACTTTCTTTAGGATGCTTCGAATAGTGCTGTAATTCTTGGGTTCCATAGTGGATTTAATGTAAATTAGTTTCATATTAATATTTTTTATATAGAGGTAGTCCTATATTACTCATGTTATGGTTTATATTCATCACATTTCAGTATGATAAAGGGAACATTAAAATCAACAAGTCCATAACTAATGAATGAGTACTAAATTACTTTCAAAACGTCATCAGTCAAATTAGTTAACTTCAGCCACACCAGCCTCTTATTTCAGAATGTTCACTTTGTCTGGTTTTGTTGCAGTCTGCCCATATGTATACCTATTAGATATATTGGTTATATCTTTCTATGTAATATATTTTATATAAATAGGTAACTTGTTAGTTCATGTAGGAAGGGGGAGAAGATAGTTTGAGTAGTTTTAACAGCTAGTGAGATATTATTAGCTAACGTAGGTAACCAATTCTAAAGACCTATCACATTACATTATGGTTTAGAGACAATCAGGCTTATCACATTACATTACGGTTTAGAGACAACCAGGCCTATCATATTACATTACAGTTTAAAGGCAACCAGGCCTATCATCTTATATTATAATTTAGAGATAACCAGGTCTATCATGTTATATTACGATTTAAAGGCAACTAGGCCTATCATATTACATTACAGTTTAGAGGCAACTGGCCTATCACGTTACATTTTAGTTTTAGTATTCTATTTCTTTTATTTCTTTTCTTTTATTTTATTATTTTTACTCATAAATAAACATATTATTTTACAAATATAAATCACTGGCCATCTGTTGAATCACTACTCATTGTAACAGTATAAACACTTTTGATAATTAGTCTGAAATAAAACTCGTAAACTGTTAAAAGATTACTGCTCAATTAAAAAGAATAAA